CCGCTCAGATGGCAAAGAAGCAATTTTATCGTCACACTGAGATCCATCCTTTAAGTAGGCCATCATTTCTAAGGATATCAATTTTTTTACTATCATGAGAGATCAGAATAAAGCATTACAAATTCATTTTCATAATGTCATTATCATATATCTCAACTCTAAATTAATATATGTCTATCGATTAGCTCATACAAACAAGTAAACATATTTGCAATCTATTGTTGATCAAAATGTTATGTGCTGGTCTCTGATAAAATGGGTTCCTCCTATCAAGAAGTCACCTTTCTCCGAGAGGAAGCAGTACATCTAGAAAGAATAAGAGGGAAGAGGGAAAGAGAAGACAAAAGGGGGATAGGTAAGAGAAACTAAATTTATTTAGAATAAATAGAATATATCCAATCATGACACTTGGGTAGTTCCTCACTTATTTACAGAAGTTGTGGGAGAATAAATTTGAGATCATTACCTCACAAAAAACTCACTAGCATAGACCTTCAAAACCTCTGAGTCAATAGTACTATAATATGAAGCCTAATCTATAGTATATCCATATAGGGAGTCTCGGAGACTACTTTAGATGAGCTCTTAAAAATACGGATGCAAATTTGTATAAAAGTAAGCAACTTAAGAAATGGAAGTATGTTCTTCATATGAAAATAGGCTGATGTAAATTTTTTTCTCCTCCGAATAATCTATAAAATACTGCATTTGGTAAGTTATGATTCTAGCTAATTTGTCATAGCAAACCTCCATGGAGATTAATCAAATTCCAACCAAGGCGGCAACATGTAAGCTGACTCATGCTAGAATAACTATTTACATGACAACCAAGACCCACGTACTGGCCGACTAAGCCTCAAATAGGGTTGGCAAGACATATTGGCTTATGAAGGCTACTAGATCTTGTTACAATCTTCAAAAACCATCATCGAAGGTGATTTTAAGCCCAACTAGTCTCAGACATGTACTGGACTTATCGAGCCTAAGTTACACATCTTACAGGAAGTGTCCATAAGAAGATCACAAAGTCTTTTTCCTTCTAGCTCTTTATTTCAAGAAGTTACAATCAAGAGAAACTATAACAGAGAAGTATTTCTCGGTTCATGATCTTAACCACTCTTGAGTAGACTATCAAGAATTTTTTTCCCCCTCATTTACTTTGATGCTCCAATTCCAAACTAGCATATTGTGAAAGAAAATTTAATTTGTTTCATTCTGCTTTTCTATCATATATTTTAGTAACAAAAATTTAAAGGAAAAGAATCAACTGCAATTTGAAATACAGAGCCACCATAACATCACAAATTTCATAGAGAAACACAAAAGAGAAGAAGTCGATATCTCGCCCTCCATATGCACCAAAATCGCTTAGTACTTTTGCTAAAGAAGAAAAACTTGTTGCCTACATGATCCAACTGTAGAACAAGTAGCAAATACTTTCCTAAAATAGCGAACGCACGGTAGAAACCCTAGGAGAACCACTCATGGCACAATTCAAGAAAAAATCCCTACCTTAAGCCCCAAACATCAAGAAACATCTCTTCGGAACAACAAACACCGCACGGACTACCTTTAGCCGTTCGATCAAACAACGACAAGACACAACGTACCTTTGCCGCCGCCGATTATCTGATGGATCGACCGCTGGCGATTGAAGAGGCGATAGCAATGGTCGAGCGCGCTCTCCTTCCGCCCCTCGGCGGCGATTTCCCCGTTCGAGGGATCCGACACGCTGCCCTCCATCATCGATTCACTGAATCCAACGCACGCAGCAAGAACCCGATCGAATTAGACGGGGAAACAAGAATAACAAGCAAAGATTCCGGGTGGAATGGAGACCAAAGTACCTTTGGCTGCGGTGCTCGGCTTTCGGAATCGAAGTTCAAAGAAGAGGAAAAGAAAAGGTCCACTTCACTTTACG